GTTAAATAAACTTCGTTTAAATTAAAATTAAGAGACAAAACTATTTTTATAAGATAATTATTTCCAACCACTAATTGTATTTATGAGTATTTTTCGTTCAAGTTATTCAAGTCACAACATTTTTAAGTTGGCTCTTGACAAATCCAGTCGTGTTTTACAGCTTTTTAAATAAGGTGATTCTTTAGTTTCATAATGAAATAAACTCTTCGTTTGGTTCCAAATAATTATATGGTCAAGTTTGTATTAAAAGTTTATTAAAAAATGATAAGTATAATACAGAAATTTCCATTTCATATTTAATAAACTACAATTGTTTTATAATGTTTGAATAACAGTGGTATAGTAACAAAATTGGAATTTTGAAAATATCGACAAAATATTTCCAAGGATTGCATTTTTAGATATATGTACTTATAGTTTTTGACAAATATAATCTTACTAACATTTTTAAAAAGAAATATTCTTAAATTTCTCATACACGGGATGAAAAAAAAATATGAGTGTAGCAATAAAAACCTAAAATAAAATATTTGTAGAGTGCTTCCATTAAACCGATAAAAAAATTTTTTTTGTAATTACATTTTGTAAGCCAAAATAGGTAAACATTTGTAAATAATTAATTAAAATTAAAATCAAAAAACATAAAAATAAATAATTATATATTGATATCTATATAGGTAGGTATATGTATAGGTACAGACATATACATACCAAATACAACGAAATATTCTGTTAATGTGAATTAAAAGCCTATGGTTAATATTCATCGAGGGAAAGAGAAAATTATTTAATTCAACAGTACATAATAATAATTTCAAAGTTTTCTCACTTTTTAAATTTGTACATTTTGTGAAAAATACCGATTGATAAACTATCTATTTGATGAATTAGCACAAAATTACATATTATTCTGTTATAGTTTTCAGTGGTAAAATAACAATTATTACAAATATTTTAAATAAACGTATTTACCTATTTATTTCATATTCATTTTTTTATGACACTACGAATTCTAAAAACGTGTACGTATCAAATATAATGAACAAATGGATACTTAAATTTCAATTAATAATAATAATAAACTATTAACCTACTTTTTTTAAAAGAAATTTATAATTTTAATTAATATTACACTACACAATAAAATTTTTAAACCAAATTATTATGTATGTAAATAAATAGTAAACATTATTTTATCTTTTTTATTTTTATAAATTTGATTGTATTATAAAGGCTATACAAAATAAATTTTCCAAAAGCCTAATATTTAAGATATAACCACTAAATTAAAATGTACCTTTAAACGTTTATAACTTAATTCTAGTCACTAGATCCTATTATAAATCCTCTGAAATTATTTCAACCTTGGGACAATAACACGACATACTTCCATAAATTTTAATGTATTATTCATGAAAACTTTATTTGTAGACAAACTCTGCCCTTTAGAACTCGTAGGTTCACTTTGATATTTAACGCTCACTGCTTTGTGGTCATTATAAGCAATAAAAATATTTTGATAACAAAAACAAGATACTAAGTTTCCAGTAACAATTAATCTCACTTTAAACAACAAAAATAAATATTTTAAGAATAACAATGTTAAAAAAATTACAAGATAATTATTTATCAAATCAAATCGTACACACGTATCGTCTAAGTATTTCAAACATTTCTCTACATCTAATAAAACCATTAAAATTTGAGTCTCGTTCACGTACATAAATCACTCGTAAATTAATCATCTTATAAAATGATTATCTGTAAGAATATATGAGATTTTCTTTACAAAATCTAAATGTACCTATACAGTTCGATTTTCGCGGCTATGCAATAGTTAGCGTCCACGGTGGTACCGCATTAATGTGGGAATCACATTTTCACCGCAGTACAGCACCGGAAGTATTGGTTTTTGCACGTCGCATTGCTATGGGGGAATTTGATTTTTCCGGATCCGGCGGAAATTCCGTGCATAAAAAACCCACCCCTGCGTAATCTCCCGTGTGCGTGACATTATGCATGGAAAATTATCTGTGATGAAAACCTTTGTAGGAATACATTTTAATGTCACATATTGTAATTCAATTTGATTATCTCAAACATACAGCAGCCAGGTGGAATAAATAATTATTTTTAATTGTGCATCCTCGTTCAGTTTGATATAACAAGTAGCCGTTTTTATGTACCAAGAAAAAAGAACGAATTTTGGAAAAGAATGAAAAAAATTAATTTATCTTGTTCCCTTGTGAAAATAATTAACGAACATAAACCGCCCTCGTGACTCGAGGATAGCAGACCATTTTTGTTGTACAATACCGACACTTTTCGTCAACAATAATCGTAACAACGATTTTAAAGAAATTAATTTTGGCGTTATCCGAAAAAGAAAAAAATAAATACATTTAACACCTATGGCAAATAAAACAAATCCAATAAAAACTAACGGATATCATATTATATTTAAGTATCAGTTTTAAAATGATTTAAAAGTTTGAAAACGAAAACATGCGTTTTGAGAACTACGTATCATTACATTTTTTTACAATACTGATTTTCACATTATACTACACAAATATTTTGGTTAAGTTCTTAAAAAATATTAAAAATAATAGATAAACTTCATTTCATTTTGTATATTTTTATATTCAATAAATTATAATAACATCAACATAATATTATGTCAGCACTAAGTTGTCCACTTTCAAAATTACTTACTACCATAATTTTGTATTTTAAAATGTACTCCGCTGTGCAATTAGATTTTCCAAATCTATAATTTTTCCTAATATAGCAGTTCGAATACGTCGCACTGTGCAAATAATTTTTCGATACGTAAAAATGATAACGTCGTGTTGACCCCAATATCTTCTGTTATAGTGCGTCTAGTGCGACTAATCGCTGATAAGCTGTTATTCGTATGGATTCGTTTGAACGCTGTACAGTATATAAGTATATAACTGTAAATGATACAAAAGAGAGGTAACTACATTAAATTATAAGGGAGAAAGAAGAAGGGAGTCGTAGTGAGGCTCGGGAATAACACGTGCATGTGGAGTGAAGAGTATGCAATACAAACGGTCCTACTCATCGCCTTAACAACGTCGATCAAACGAAACCTTACTTACGAAGCACGTAACTTTGAAAAAAGGTCAAGTATAGCAGCGTTAGAAGTTGCCACACGCAACTAACTGCCTATGATTTTATGTAAAAAACCAGGCGTCTACTCCATACAAAACTATACGCGTAAAAATATTTCTCACGCTGCATCAAATTGATTTATTTTCGTTTTCTTTAAACATAAATGGAGATCAATTTATAGATTTTGATATTTGATGTTAAGTTTAATATTTATTTCATGTTCATAATTACCTATATAATTTCTTTTTTGTGGAATTATTTGGTAGCATTCCATAATTTTTAATCTCATTGATGTTATACTGTTATTATTTTAAATTTTATGTTAGTACTAATAATACTATCTATACTTTTAGAAACATAAAATATGAGATAAAAATATGATATTAATCATAAAAAAAAATAATAATTGTATTGAAGTATATTGAACAACTAAAATTCATACTTAACTGTATTTTAACTAATTATAACAAATCACAAATTGTATGAAAGGTGATATGGTTCAAACCTTGCGAAAGAAAAGAATTTAATTAAATAAAATTAATTCTAAAAAATATTGTGTACGATCTTAACGTATAAGTAAATTACAGATACGACATAGTTAATACACTATAAGTTACAACTTGCATAAAAATAGGTCTTAGGGATCGAAGTAACGATATCAAAAATATTAAAATACTTAGGTCTTCATAAATTATTTTTTCTTTATTTTGTTTTACTATTATAGATAAAATAGATTATCGATAATTAAAAAAAAAAATTCTTATGTATTTCTTTTTTTAATTAAATTTCTGAAGACTACCTACCACATATTAATATTTATGAGTCACATTTTAAGTGTAACATAAATTATTAAATAAAAAATACTTTGTTGAGGCTTTACTTCAATTACAACAACCATTCGTCAACATTCAAAGTGAATTATTTCACATTTTTCTAATGATCGGATAATTTTGATAACAAAAATTTGCATTTAATACATATTTAATATATACCCATCCGGTGATTTTGCTATTTTGAAACATAATTTCTTTTTTCTATGGAAATTGAAGGGATATAGACTTTAATGAATTCGTTAAATAAACATGAATTAAGAATAGTTTTTATAATGTAATTCTTACTATTTTATTATTTTTTTCCTCATATTATAGTAATTTTTTTTTTATACGATATTTTTTATAATAACGAACTTTACGTTTAGAGATACTCAATAATGGTAAGCATAGTATTGGTATTTTTACAAGAGAACAAGACAACGAAGAATAACCCATATATTTTCAGAAACATGGGTATTTACGCCTCACGCCTCAAATCCAGTCTTGAATTTATGTATTTATGTATGTTATACATGTTACGAAAATGAAAAATGTAATGTAATGAAATCAGATAAAAACACACCGTCGTATGCTGTCAAATAACAACGTAATTAATTGAAAATTTGATTTCAAATATATTTTTTCCTGTAAAATGTGCATAATTTATTTCTAAATTAAAAATGAATCACTGATTTCAAAACTACTGTTCAATGTTAATGCTGTGGCTACAATCTATTGATTTTGTTGGATATCTTTAAAAACTGGTCCATTTCGGAGTAATGTATACGATACGGTTAAAACTAAAAATCAACACAAATTTTAATAAAATATAATATACTTTGAATTGCACGACCGTTTTAAATATTAATATGTTTTCGGGTCAACGCAGTCCGTACGAAAAACGTGTAACAATAAAAGGGGCATCGATGCAGCAAGGTAAATATCGCGTTCGAAATAATGAGAAAAAAAAATTCATGTAAAATATATTGTTTACGTCGTGTACATTTTAATAGTACACGATAAATGTTTATAAATATTCAAACGACTTACGTGGAAAGTTGCCAACACGTGCGCCGCGTTCTGCCGGTAGAAGGATGTACCGGTGTGCAGATGGACAGCCCGTCAGAAGCCCCCTATACGCCGATACCGGCTAGTTGCCCGTGGTCGTGATGTTACGGATGCGTATTACAAATACCGTTTAGCCGTTTTGTTTGTTACTTTGTTACGGTTCGATATTGTTCTTTTGCCGTTTTACAGTACGAACAGCTCTTATCGACGGGAGATATACCGTCAGGTAAACGATAGCCGTCGGTCGGGTCCGACTGTGGCCGCCACTGACTACTCCGAGACTGCGATACAAATATGTATCTCCGTACGTGTACGAACGCAACGTTCAATATTTACATACGGATAGATGTGTAAATATGCAACGAGCGCATTTATGTTGAACTGACGAATATACGAATACGTGTGGATGTATTTACGTATTACGTACGAGCACGTCGTGCACGGAAGTGCGTGTGTTTCGTACGTGTGGTAGTGTATCGTTTTCAATAAGACTGTGAAATGTGAAAAAGAGACGTATGCGACGAGCGTGTGCCGTGCGGTGCAAGACAAACGCGTGCCGTGGTCTCGTGGTGGACTGACGTCGGCGGCAACGGTCCCAGTGACCGGCAACGGCAACGACTCGACGACAGCGGCACCGGCGTCGCCAGCGTATGTGCGCGCACGCGCCGCTCGTCCTACCGCGTGTGTGTGCGTGCCGTACACGTACGTGGGTTTTCGCGTGTGCGCGTCGGTCCGCGCGAAATCGGTGCTCGGCGCGATTTCGCGGGCGCGCGCCGCGGTGGCCGGCGCCGGACGGAACAGCGGTCGTCTGGGCGCGATGGTGGCGCGG